TAAACTATACGAGGTCCACTTTTGCTGGAAAGTATTTGCTGGGGTGGATGACGAGTTATCGTGGCGAGGCGTCGGACAGTCGAGGAACGGCTTCTCCGGAATGCGGCGTTTTTGGGTGCTGGGCTGAAGAGGAGGAGGAGGACGAGGAGGAGGAGGAGGAGTGGGAAGAGGAGGAGAAAGAGGAGGAGGAGGAGGAGGTGGTTGTTGTAATGAAGAAGGGGGGCGGACTCTTGTAGAAGGCTGGTGAGAAGGAGGACGAGGAGGGAGTGTGGCGTGTGGGCGAGGAGGCATTGACAGTGGAGGCCTGAGTGGGCAGCTGCGGTTGGTACAGCACGCAGGTCATGGCTGTTGGATTAAGATGGAAGTTCATCGTCGATTCTTTGCAGAGGTGGTCTGAGAGTTGGACGGCTGCAGGCCAGAGGGGCGAGTGTGGTGATGAAGATGAGGCAGCAGACGAGAAGGGTGAGAGGCATGGGTTCGGTATTGAAGATGGGGCAGACGGAGCTACTGGCGTGAATGCGAATGGCGAAGGGATCAGCGAATTCAGGGACTTGGTGTAGTTCGGTGGCTGGTTCTCGTTGCCGTTCTGAGCCATCTCGGAGCACAGAAGCTTTGAAATGGCGTGGGTCGCTCGTCTCCTTTCTGTAACTGGTGTGCAGAGAGATTGCATGGATAGGGCAGAAAAGTGTCAATCCTTCGAGAAAAGTTGCAGCGTTGTCAATTTATCAAAAAATCATGTATATGCAAATGTTTGCTTTTGTGAATTGACAATCTCATTGGCAAGTCAGTTATGAGAGGCTTGGCTTGCCCTAAACTTTACATCTGCTCTGTTACTTACCGTAAACCGTGGCTGTTTAGCCGAATGGTATCGTGTTGTCATGCTTTCCTATCTATTTGTGTATGCTACTGTCCAGCCTGGAGAAGAATAACGCTTTGGAGAAAAGGCATGCTGTTGGCTTACTCGTTTCATTCTGGATAAAGTCCACTCTGAGTCTGCGAACATGCATGATTAGATTCGTATTCACGTTTTCGGTACTGGAATATTCGATACAGCCAATTAATCCTGTACAGGTTAAGGGTCAAAAAACGGGATGATTGTTATTCTGCGGACTCTTAGTTGGGTATTGAGAGGCAGTGATTTTATCACTGACTTTTCTTATCCCATACACTCAATGAGTGTGA